GGAAAGGGAAACAATGGAGAAAGTAAACAAATAGGACTACATCAAATTAAAAAGCTCACACAGCTAAAGAAACCACAAGCAAGATGAAAAAGGAACCCACTGTATCGGAGACCATATTTGCCAATGATATGTACATCTCATAAGGGTATAATCTCCAAAATATACAAAGCATGACTACAATTCAACACCAGAAAGACAAACAATTTAAAAAAAAAAAAAAAAGGACAAAGAACCTGAATAGCCGCTTCTCCAAAGAGGTCATACAGATGGCCAATAGACATATGAAAAAATGCTCCACATCATTAATCATCAGAGAGATGCAAATTAAAACCACAATGAGACACTACTTCACACCTTCCAGAATGGCTATTATTAGTAAATCAACAAACAAGTGCTGGCAAGGATGTGGAGAAAAGGGAACCCTAGTTCCCCCTCAGTGGGAACGCAGACTGCTGCAGCCACTGTGGAAAACAGTCTTGGGAGGGGTTGTAGCCCCAATGTTTGAACTCTCCCTAGAATTTTTAAAGATAATTTCTTACCTTTCATATCTTTGAATGCTCCTTTAAGTCCAGAGCAACAAGAAAATTGCCACTATGCAACTTACTGTAAGTGCTCATGAATATACCCAGTGGTTGAACGTATGGTGTGCATCAAAACCTCTGCCCCAGACTCACAGGCAGAGAGTAAACTGAGAGTTGCCAGAGGGGTGGCAGTAGGTGGGTGAAAAAGATGTAGGGGAATTAAAAATACAAACTTGCAGTTATAAAATAAATCAGTCATGGGGATGTAGCATAGGGAACACAGTCACTAACTTTTTAATAATTTTGTATGGTGACAGATGGTTACTAGACCTACCACAGTGACCATATCGTAAGGTATATAAATGTTGAATCACTATGTTATACACCGGAAACTAATATATTGTATGTCAACTATAATTTTTAAAAAATTAACCATCCAAATCAAATTGCATTGTATGTGGTAGTAGTTGATTTCAGGAGACTGAGAACAAGCCACAGGAATCCAAGTTCCTCCCATCTCCTCAGTGGACCTGAATCCAATTTAAACAAGATAAAGACAGATTTTTTGATGCAGCTAATCTTGAATCATCAACTGATACTTAACAAAATCATCAAAAAGACCAAAAATCTGGCACTTGTGCAGTCTTGTTGAGAAAAAAGATAAAAACATAACCTTTAGCAAGGTTGGCTAAAAAGCCTGTGTAATTAAACGGCTTTAAAATGAACCTTGGCTGGAAACTAGACTCTCCCCAATAACTAGGTTCCAGGCCTAGCTTTAATCCCTGCAGGTGTGTAGCCACACGACAAGCCACCACAGCCCCAAACCCTGAGTTTACTAGGGCCTGACACCACAGGTCAGGCAAAGGCCACATCCTCCCTGTGTTGTGTTGTTTCTAAGTTATAATACCTAACGTTTATTGAACTCTCACGTTTCAGGATCTGTGTACCTTATTTAACTCTCAAAGAGAGATACTATTTTATCCTCATTTTATATGTCCGCTCTCAAGCATTTCAGGCTTATGTAGAGGTTAATGCCAATCACTTATGTGTCTGTCCTTACTGGTTCTATCCAACAGTAGGAATGCAATGAATGAATAAGCAGACAGGGATCAAAGTTTTCACTTTCTTCATGGAGGTCTCATTATATCAGCTACAGGATTCCTGAAAAGTACTGGATTAAAGAAAGTAATTTGGAATTGAACCCCCCAAAAAACAAGGCTTCCTATATCCTTCTACCAAATCTGAATCTTTGAACCAGCCAGTGAAGCATATTGGACCTGCAGGCAGACTCTTCACACACATCTCCAAACAACAGTGTGGTAGATTGGGGCCCACCTCACGTACCCAGTCATCTGCAGAAGCAATGGCTTCTAGAAAGCAGGCACTGTGCCAGGCCTATTTACTTAACAGAGCCCACTGTCCCCTTCTAACAATCTGCCTAGTAAAGAAAGAATCCTATTTCTTGCTTTTAAACATAGTTTTCAAGCATATTTTTCACATAGCTATCCCACTGGCATCGTTTAGAAAGGTTTAAAGAATTGCAGTGAACTGGCCACACCACAGACCAACTAAATCAGAATCTCTAGGGTGCAAGTATTTTTTTTTTTTTTTTTTGACATTTTCCAGGCAATTCCAATGTGTAGCCCAGGCTGAGAAACACAGCTTCATAGGTTTGATAACCCCATCCCCTCTTAATGCAGTCAGTCTTAACTAGCACTTTTTGAGGGCCTGCTTTAAGCTAAGCAATTGACATGATCCTCGTTACAATTCTATGAGGCAGGTATGATCACATTTCACAAGTGGGAAGAGTGGGGCTTGGGAAGGCTAAATGGCAGATCTGGGATTGTAAATTTAGTGTTCTGTCTCTAGAGCTGAATACTTAACCATCATACACTTTGTTGCTTTTTGTGAATGCCGTGATCCTAGCAAATCTCTCCAACCAGCTAATACATTTCTTCTTTTGTAAGATTTGGAGGAACTGGAACAATTTATTCCAACACTCCCTCATTAAAGAGAACATCGAAGTGAAGGAAGAGTAAGATTCTACTAGAGATTCTGGAAAATGTGTGGCAGGGAGTAATAAATCAACAGTCGGAGGTGGTTAAAACTGTCAAGCAGCTAAAGTCAAATAGCATAATCTTTTTCACAGAATCACTTTACTGTTTTTTGAACAGCAATCTTTTGTATTTTGAGACTGAAAATAAGAAAATTGGGAAGACAAGGCTAAGGATCATGAAGAAAGGTGTCAAGGGAGACTATGGAAATAAAAGAATCAAAACCTCTTGTGAACATATCCATGACAATACAAGTTGAGTAGAAAAAAAACAAGAACAGAAGCCTAAAAAACTTGGAGGGAATGAACAGCGACAGGAGAGGTGAAGTCTTGTTCACATTCTGAGACACTGAGTCAAAGGATGAAAAATGAGCCCTGACCAGTGTGAGTCAGTGGGTTGGACATCATCCAACAAAGTGAAAGGTCGCCTGTTCGGTTGGGTCAGGGCATGTGCCTCGGTTGCAGGTTCAGTCCCTAGTTGTGGGCGTGTGCGAGAGGCAACTGATCAAAGTTTCCCTCTCACAGCAATGTTTGTCTCTCTTCTTCCTTCCTCTCTCAAAAAATAAAATCTTAAATAAAAAAGATGAAAGGTGATGCATTACCGAATAACTCAGATATTTTAAAAGGCGGAAAAAGAGAATTATCTTTCCCTCCTTATTTCATCTTTTTAGAAATTCTGCAAAAAAAAATATATATATATAAATTGGATCTTCTTTATATGTTTTCTGAAAGTATATCAATGCTAATGTCAAATAATATATTAATTTTGCTAACAAAAATTTTAGCATTGAAGAGGATTTAAGTCTTACAGTATCTTCTATATAGCAAATAATCATTCTAATTTATTCTTTTTGTAATTAGAATTTTCACATAATGAATTTGCAGGCCATTGGCATATCCTTTGATCCCAGGGAAAAATGTATGTCATTACAACATTGTGTTGAACACTTCATGAGCAACAGACAAAAGAATTCCTATCCATAGATGTTCTTCCTCGTTTTAATTTTCTTTTCAAGGTATGAGTCATTATTCCCTCATGAGTACAGGTCTGAAAGGAGGACAAAAGACTCCACCCATCTGTGCCTGGACAAAGCTGAATCCAGTTTGTGAAATAATTTGCATCTTCAGAATCGCACCATTCCTTGCTCCTTTAGTCGCAGGGAAACTTGGCAAATCAGGTTAATTCAACAGGTTGTTTGCATTTCTGATGAAAGCCAATACGAGGGTTAAATTTTAAAATGCCCTCGTACTATTTACTTTACAGTCAACTGAAGATCACTGAATCTATATAATAAGTTTTAACTGCTAGTCTACAATTTGATATTGTCTTTGGAATAGAAAAACAATCAAACTCTAAATTGATTTTTTTGTATGATCATTTCATTCTCATTTGTGTGACTAAATCAGTTCACCTATAAGTGACTTATCAGGTCTATCCTCCCCCCACTACACACACACACACACACACACACACACACACACACACAGGAACACTTAGGGCAGGTACAACACATTACTGTTAAATTCTTGAGACTGGTGTATCATGACATAGACAGTGGGCACAGAATTAACTGAACAAATAAATTCTTCCAGAACTGTTATGCCTTTTTTATGGTATATTAACTTTTACTATTTTTATGGCTATCTTAAGGAAATTTTGAAATGAGTATTTTGCTAAAATGGATAGAGCAGATATTCACATCATTTACACATCAGGTTAGGAACCATAAAATTAAGATTTTTAAAACAGGTTTCTTATGTTGCATAAAGCTCATGTTTTGAAAAATCTGAAAATTATTTTACTTTGGGGTTACTTTCAAAGATTAGATGAGAAAGATTAATAGGACTTTATCTGTCACTCATTTTATGTATTAATTTAATTTAAAAATGGTCAAATATCAGTAATTCATAGATTCTACCTCTTTAGAATTATGAGATAGCTGAAAAACCATAGTTTTCATATCAAACAAAATAACACGGCCCTATGTATTAAAAAAAAAAAAAAGTCTACACAGGAGGGGACAACCTCAGCTACACTGCAATGTGCTTAAAATTCCAACTACAACGCATCTTTAGTTAGCACAAGGGCTTATGGTGCTACCTTTCCATATTAAAGGTTGCTACTGGTAAGGCTATGACACCAAAGTCCAATTCTGAGTTCCCACAGACTGCTGTTATAATCACAGTCACAGGTAACTTTGGAGTGAGAAGAGGCAGGGACCACTGTTTAAAATAACTCCTGATACAAAAATGCCCTGTTGTTCAATAATTTTAAAATCTCATTCCCAAAAATGTTTTGTGTTTGTTCGCTTAGCTTTTCTCCTATCTTCCACAGAAGGTGCTGAAGGGCAATGAAACTTCAAGAGTTAGAAAACTGAGTGGACAGCCATTTCATAGGGAATAATCAGCTGCAGAGTAATATTAGCTTTGTTGGATGTCAAAAGCTGACTTGATTATTTCTTTAATACAAAACACAAATATCCACAGCCATTAAGTGAATTTATGAGAAACTAGCCACATTAAGTACGACAGATCACAGAACTACTTTGAAAACATAATTTTAAACTCTCAAATGTAAGTGATAGTCTCTTATTTTCTAATGGGGGCAAGAGGGAAGATAAAATAGAAACCCAAACACTAGACATAAAGGTAGGCCTATAAAGCAACAATGCATTTTCCACAGAGAACCACAGAGATACTCATTCAAATTCTTGTACATTTTTATGCTAAGGTACTGAAATTTAAATCAACTGAGTCTCTTCTCATTTTTTATTTTATTTTTTATAAAAGACAGATTTAGTGTATTGTAAGAAATTACTAAATTACATTTTAAAAAATCTGTCAAGTGCTACAGTAATGAAATAAATAAATAAAATTTTTAAAAGTTCAATGTTTATAGACATTTATCAAAAAAAAAAATGACTGAATTAGAAGACATTAAATAATGTTGATACACACCAGGAAGGGATTTAGGCAAGGAAAGGCACATCATTTCACCACAAGAAATAAAGACCATAGTTGGAAGTTAATGACCAGCCTGGTTGTAGTAGTTTTCCTAACTCCAGAGGGTCTTTATGATGGAACGTTCTTTATGGTTGGTACTCAGCTGAAATAAAGAGATAGCAGTTGAAGAATTTTACTCTGTGACCCCAATGTAATATTAAAAAGAAAGCACTCTTTGAACAAGCCTGGTGTGTTAAGGGGGAAGGAGTAAAAATCCAAAATGGTTTGATGGTACTGAAAATCCCACAGAATTTTTAAAGAGAGTTTAAAAAAATAAAATAAAACAAGGTTAATCTTCTATTCTGGGTGAATTGGAATTCCTGCAGTTACAAAATTAAAATTTCAAGTAAATTACTATGTTTTTCACTCCCTTTCTTATAGACAAATATGGTGTACATAAACAGCTGCCATATTTCATCTCAGTGAAACTATATAACGATATTTAGGGAAAAGGATTTTAAGTAATTCTCCTATTTTATGTACCTTAAGTGTTTGAAAACAGCACTAATACCTCTGGCTGACTGGCTTTCTATAACAGCAAAGTCAACGTAAGTCTTGATAATAGTGAGGTTTCCCAATAAAAATAAAATTTCCAGTTGAGCAAATATAATTAATTACTTTACGGAGAAGTCTAATAGACATCAGCAGAACTTGCTCTGGGTCAATTTCCCACTATCAGTTATCTTTAACAAATTTGTGCCAAGTACCCACCCATTTCCTTCTGTCTGGACTCTGACCCTACATCAGTTTGTTTGGAATCAAAGTAGTGCATATAAATTTTAGTATTTTCAAAAACTGTGTGAATAAATAAAATGGATTTTCAAGATAAAATGATATATCAGCCAAAAAAAAAAAAAAAGTTAAATTAAAAACAGTTGGGAGGGAGTGACAGGGAAAATATTACTCTTAAAAAAAGAATAAAAATGGCAATTGCGAAGCAGCTGGCCTCCCATTCATGCCACACGATATGCCTTCATTAAGGTGTACTCTTTCCGGTTGGTGTGAGCTGCCCAGATGAAGAGAGCAGAAGCCATGAACTGTAATGGAGCTGAGACGCAAGCCAGGCAGAAGGACCATCCAAATTCCCCAGACACATTCTCAGGCAGCTTTAGTTTCTGGTGGAGTAGTTCAATTCCAGCAACATAACAACTCACTGAGCCCAGTGTGCACAGACCTTGGAGGAAAAGTTAAAAAACAAAACAAAACATAGGTAGATAAGAGCACCATAAGTGTTCTTCAGGCAATGTGACAGTGCAGAAATATATGAATGTTTAAGAATTACAACTCTTTGGTGTCTAGGGAGACAGAAAGGGGATAAAATGTAAAGTATGATGACAAGACCCACCTGCAAGGAGATGGAGAATGCCTGTGGCAATGGTGGGATACAAGCTGCGGCAGATACAAGCACAAAGTCCAATCAAAGCCCCAAAGCACATCAAACCTAGACTCACAAAAGGTAATAGGAACTGGCAACGCCAAAGATCTGATTTTTAAAAAGAGAAATGAAAAAATGTTACCATGATTATAGACACTTTTTACACAATGACAATTTCTTCCATATTCTAATTAGACCTTTTCTCAAAAATGAGAAAGGAATATTGAGGTTTCTTTTCTAAAGCACACTGTTCAAAAGAATGCCAACTCTGTCCTGATAAAAGTAAAAGGACACTAACAGTTAACAACTACTGATCTCAGCAGGACAGGGCTTACAATGTGCCGGGCAGGCTCTGTTCTACAGATGCTTTGTATATTAATCCTCCCAGCATCCCGAGCCACGTAGTATTGAAGCACAACATTCTAGCTCTACATACAAACAAATCTAAGTCCTTATAGGATCTGTGGCAGGAATAATAAGTCAATGAATGGTAATGATAAAAAAAACCTGTTGAAAGAATATATATAAAGCACAAGGTAGAGGATCTGGTCTATCCAGGCACTCAATAAATGGCAGTATTAATTATCATAAATTCCTTCAACCACATGGGGAAAAAGTCAATGACTTTACAAAGCATCCCATTCCATTTTTATTTTTATTATTAGCAATGTATTAAGATCAACTGCAAACCAAATCTACCCTTTAATGCTAGTTTTACTTGTTGAACTACATAAAAGTCTTTTCGCCTACTTTCCTTCAAATTGTTAGCAATAAACTTCTTCCTATGTATTTGCAACACAGAATTGGATACTTGCCATTGATTCTGTTTCTTCCCATGACATGGTCATTCTTCCAGGAGAGCTCCAATAAGTCTCCATAGATTGGAAACTAGGTTCAAATCTGAAGACAGTATTTCCTGGATAGACTGACCCTCAAGGAATAGAATGTTCCTAATAAATGCTTTCATTTATTTTTGACACCTATACTTTTGTTACTACCACTTAAGCCTGGATTAATACTTGTAGCAGGCCTGACATTCAATTGAGTCATATAGAGCTTGCAGTCAACTGTTTCACACATTACTATCTGCTCTCAGGTAACTGAAGTGTTTAAAGCAAATATAGGAATTTATTATTCATCCCTGTTAAACTTCTTTAAATGGGCTCACTAGCAACAACTTTTGAAGGATCTGAACTTTGCCATCCAATGTGTTATTCTGCCTTTTTTGATTTCCTAGTTTCAATTGGCTAAGTATGTACCTAACTTCTAAAATGTAACCAGCAGATCAAAGTTTGCTGAGGTACTGTTAGAGATCGCATTCTCTAATAAGTTGACACAATGTATTAATTAATCTTGTTCCAAAATCAGAGTTCATAAAAAAGGGCAAAATTACTTTCTAGTTTCCTCTAATTGTCCTGCTGATATCAAAGTACTCACAGGTCCGAAGCAGATCAATCCCAGCATTGTGATTTCCAGGATCAACAAATTTCTCCATGAACTGCTCACTTAGTGTGAAACTCATGCATCTTGTAACCACATCAAATGATTCTGGAACAAGAATAACAATGATTGCTCATTGTTTTAATTGTAAGCATTTAACAAAAATCTCTTTTGAGTAATTAAATAAAAAGTGGCATAGAAAGATGTTCCTGGAGGAGACAGCAACCTCTTTGGTTCTGAGAAGTAAAACCGATGCCCAATGGATTCCAGTGGTTCTCAGTGGCAGGCTTCAGACATGGGCACCAGAAAGGAGGAAAAACGAAAGTAGGAGCAGTAAAGTGAATGAGAATAGATGTGTAAGACTAGGAAGGAGGAGAAGGGGATGAAAACTGAAATAATTAGGAATTCTGATATGCTCTCCTAACCTACTCCACCAGCCATCTTCCCCATCTCAGGTAATGACAATTCCATCCTTCCTGTTCCTCAGCCTGGAAACTTTAGCCATTTGTGCCCACATACCTTCCATCAAGAACCCTGCCACTGCTCAGAACTACCACCATGGTCTGAGTCACATTTATTTCTCACCTGCATTAGTGCAAAGGCTTCCTAACTAGTCTCCTGGCTTCCACCATTGCCTAACACCTGTATTCAACATATCCACCTAGATGACCAGATCATCTCACCTCTGCTTTAAGGCCCCCAAAGGATCCATCACATTCAAGGTGAAAAGTAAAGTCCTCACCATGCCTAGAGAATCCTGCATGATTTGCCCTACTCCCGCTCCCAGAGCACGTATGTCTCGGACAGAACACCCACTCTTCCTCTCCCTCCATTCCAGCCCAGGGCTTCCTTGCTGTCTTTGACAATCCTAGGCAAGCTCCCAACATAAGGCCTTTGCAGTAGTTCTTCCCTCCATCCTAAATGATTCCCTCTGCTTCCACAATTACCTATTTGGCCAATATCTTCACCTACATTAAGTCTTTACTCAAGTGGTAACTTTTTGTTGGAGCCTATTCTGCCTATACTATGGTATATCATAACTTATGCCCACCAACATCATATGTATTCCTATTCTGGCATTTTTTTCCCATAACACATGTCATCTTCTATTATACTATATAATTATTGTTTATACTGTTATGTTTATTGCTTGTCATCCTTTATTAGAATGTAAATAGCTACCCCAGAAGTAAGAATTTTATTTTTATTTTCTCTGATAGATTCCAAGCTACTAGGCCCTGGAACACGACATACAATAAATATTTGTTGAATGAAGGATAAATGGTTGCTAAGATTCAAATATTAAGTACTCCTATGCTCTCATAAATAGACCTAAGCATGTTACAATAAATTTTAACCAACTTTCCCCTCTACTAAATTATTTTCTTTTTTCCATATGAAATCACAACTACCATTCTTTTGATGTATGGAAACTCAAGCCTGTTGAGCTGTAAGTAGTAGTTACAAATAATAACAAAATGTAAAGTTGTTCCTAACAAAGACCTCTAAAGTTTCCGTTTTAATAACTGGATATTAAAATTTTTAAGTATTAAGAATGCTTGCAAAATAAACCTGAGAGACAATGTCTTAGATTATTTTTCTCATGAACTGAACATTTTTAACCTACAAACTCTATCAAGATTGTTGTAACACAATGTCAAATATGCACAGATTTAAATGTAGAGTTGGTCACATTATATCCTCTCAGATTTAGAGGGCAAATGACATCTACTAAAGCACAGCTAACTCATAAAAGGGCTATCACTTCATATTTACTGACTTGATTATGGATACAAGTCCTTTTTACCAGTTTCCAAGTATTTAAAGTCTTCCAATGTACTTTTCCAATTATTTCCTCAATGTGTGCCATTACTAAAAAAGGCTTTTAACGAGTAAGTACAGAGATTTAAAATGTCTTTCCCATGATAAGAACAATTACTCATCCAGCCAATATTTATGAGTACAATGGTAAGCTGTGGAAGGAAGAGGGGAGAGAAGGCGGTATGGAAAGAAGAGACATGTAAGATTTATCTCTTTGAGGTGAAAAAAGAACTCAAAAACCTGCTTAAACATAATTGGGCCATCATCATATCACTTTGTCTATTGTTGAATAGGTAAAGGAGACAGAGCTAAAAAGGGAAATACCTGTCCTTTCGTGGTTACCCCACTCTATGTTTTGGGGTATAGTGATACACCGTCTCCACAATCCCACTGTGCCGTTATATCGAAAAAGTACATCATTATAAGTCTTTTCATCTGCTTCATCACTAGCGAAGTTGACCCAGATGCTTTTGTTCAAATCACTGGAATTTTCTTGAACTGGACTTCGATACTCATACCAGAAGTCTGTGCCAATTGAGGCTGCCATGTAGATGGTAGAGATGAGGCTAAGCACACACGCTATTACAAACGCTGTAGCAAAACGGTTATCCATTCTGGCATTCAGACTGCTCTGTATAAAAATTGAAGAAAAGTTAACCCAACCAAGGACAAAGATTATTTTGAAAGAAATTAGTTGCCCTTTACTCCCCATTCTTTGGCTATTTGAAGTAATGTCTGATCGTTAAGAAAATTTTTAATAGTATTTTTTAGTTAAGTTCAAAACAAAAGTCATCATCATGAAAGTACTTATTGAAAGTTCACATACCCAGGATGCTACGGAGACAGAGGTCTTGTTCTCTAGTCTATCACCTGCACACTAAAACAGACAACACTGAAAAGGACATACACATTACAGATACAAACAACAGACAAGCCCGAGTCAGCAATATACCATGCATAAATTTTTAATTAGACAGAATTTTCATACAAGCTGTAGAGCGTTAAATGTTCTGGGTCTGATGTGAAAAGGGCATAGAAAAAGGAAGCAGAGGAAACTCATTCCTCCCAGGTCACTCTTAAGAGGGAAACCAAAAAACAAGGTTTAGAGTCAGGAGGGCCGAGTTGAAGATATCTGTGAGCTCACAGTGAAAAGTAGTTCCAGATGTACAGAAGAGCAAGGAGAATATAACAACACATAATGCTAGATACCAATCTGCCCCTAATCCAGTAAAGCTAAGCCAAGCTCCTTTACACTGCCAAATTCTTTCCTCCTGCCTACTCTCCCCATTCCTTGTAATTTTGAACCTCCTCATCTGCAAACTAAATGCTCTCTCCCCAGCTTTACAGGAAACTCTGAATTAAACAAAATATGAACACTCCCAAGGCGTGGACACGGGCTCAATGGCAGTAGTAAAAGGCCGCGATAAAATGACTCAAGGCGTATCCAGCTGAGTCAAATACTGCAAATACATACCATGACCGCACCAAACACCTTACAAAGGAGCCCGAAAACAGGCTCGCAAACTGGGGTTACTGAGTTTGGAAGATGGGGAGTGACTCAAGAGAGCTCAGGGCAATTACAATGATTAACGACAACTCCCTAAGTTGGGTTTGGGTTTTTATTCTTTTTAACCCTCTTTCATCCTGGTGCTCTCAAATGACCTTAACAGGTCCCGGCCCCGGGAGCGGTGGTTCTCCCAGGTCGGACGTCTGGCGCTGTCACCTCGCGGGGCGCTCCGTGGGACCAGGGAAGCCGGACGCCTGTTAGGGTCAGGGTGGGGGAGACCGGCGGGCCCAGCCTGGGGCCCCAGATACCCAACCAGGCCCCTCCCCAGACCATTCAGCCGAGGGACAACCTCACCGCAGCCTAACCCCTCAGACCCGCCCACCGCAGCCGCGCACGGGCAGGAGACCCCTCCTTAAACCGCTGGAAACGCCCAACGGCTACGCGACCCCCGCCCAGCGTCGCCGGTCCCGCTCACTCACCGCCCATCCTCCTACTCCGCCAGCTTCACCCTCAAGCTCAGACCACAGCGCCCTACTCTCCCTGTACCTCCTCTGACGCACTTCCCTGCAGATCCCGCCCCCTCCATAACTCCCGCGCCCCCGCCTCCACCCCAGGCCTGGCCAAGGCCCGGGACCGAGGGGGCTTGTGGGAGTTGTAGGAGCCACAGAGGGAAAGCTGAGAGAGCAGGCGGACGGCATTGCTGGCGCCACGCGCGGCGCCTTGTGGGGGATGTAGTTCAGCTCCAGAGGGAGAGCCAGCACGCTTAAGGGAGGTCCGGGCCGATGAATTCTTATATTTTAGGAAGGAATGGGTTAGGACCCCAGATTAGGGCGAATTGTCTCCAGTTACCACTGGTCATTGATTGTGACCTAAATAACTCAGGTTTTACAGTTTGAAAGAGGAAGACCTCTACCTCAGTTCAAAGACAAGGAAACTGAGCCCAAGGTGAATAACTGACTTACCAAACTTTACTAGTGGGGTGAACTGACTAGCTTTGAGACATTAAGCAATTTACTTAACTTCTTTAAGTTTCAGTTTCATTTTATCCAAAATATGGATGTTGGCAATAACCCCCTATCCCAAGTGTCATTGTGAGGATTAAATGAGAAAAAATATATATTATATTAAATGCGTAGCACAGGGCCTAAGGCATAGTAAACAATTATTAAATTGTTAATATTTGAAAATATTTGTCGAATATCAAAATGTTTAAGTAGGGTCAGGATATACAGCTATTAATAGCTCCTGATTTCCCCTGCAGGGTGGAAATAAGGCATTCATAGAGGTAGATGTCTCTGGTCACTTCAGGTTTTATGAACCTGTGGACTAACTGTGAAATGACGAGGAAAGACTTACCAGGACCAGATCCTAGGCGTTCTCGCTTAGCTCTGTTCAAGCATGGATAAGTCTTCATGATTTGGGATGGCTATTTCTTGGGAAACCTGCAAAGGAGGGTGTCGCTTTCATCCACCAAGCCTGCAGAATGCCTAGAAAGCACACAAGACACACTTCACTCACCAAATTACGGACCTGGAAATGTCTCCATGTTTAGACTGTGACCATCCTACCTACTCAGCACCACGGACTTGCCCTGCCTCATTACACGCGGGATCACCAAGCACACAATTGTATTTCTGATTTATCTCTGCATCTTGGGTGTTTTCTATTTTCTCTTTGTAATTGCTTGTTGTATGGGTAGGCAATAGAAATCCTCAATATTTAAAATAATGGAGTTAAATTTCTGCTTCCGTTTGTTAATTTGCTTTTTGGGGAACTGTAGCTGGCCTGAAATATTTTCACAAAATGTTAAAGACAACTTAGTGCAACTCTGTACAGATTATGCAATTTAGATTTAAAAGCAAAATTGAACTAGACCTCTGACTTAATTTGTTAGGGATGGTTCTAATTTCAGCAGAAAGATATTACAATTACATTACAGTTTAAATAAACCAAAACTGAAGATCTAGGTACCTAGATATTATTATTTGTTTATATAATATACTTACAAAAGAACTCTTCATATGAAAATTTCCTTTCATACCAAATTTCCTAATCTACTTAAATGTTCTTTTTAATTGCACATTTTTTAGGAACTAGAAAGTATGTTAAGCAAGGTATATCTACATTATGTTTTTCTCATATAATTTTGTTGTGCTTGTTTTCCTTGCGACCCTAGGAGTGCAGAAAGGAGAAAAATAGAAATATGTGCAAGCTCTGGGTTCCAATCAACAATGACCCTTAAAAAAGTATCATTTAAAAAATTTCCTTGTATCAATTCACTGGAGCACAATAAGAAAATTAACCACGAACAAGGCAAATAGAAAAGTACATCTAAAATGGCTTTTTCATCAAGATGGTGGCATAGGAAAATGCTCTGCTCACCTCTTCCCACAACCACATCAAAATTACAACTAAACTACAGGACAACCACCCTTGAGAATCACCTGAAATATAGCTGAACAGAATTCCTACAACTAAGGATATGAAAAAAGCCATTGGGAGACTGGTAGGAGGGGGTAGAAGGAGAACAAATTGGTCCTGTTATGGATGGGGAGAGAGAAACCCGAGTCAGAAGGGTCCCTCCCCCCTCTCAGTTCTTATCTTGCTCTCAAGACACAAATTCAAAGGAGAAACAAACAAGTATAGTGGAAATGAGATAGCAAGTTTATTTATGAAACACATGAGCACAAAGCTGCCTGGATGCACCCACCTGGTCTAAATACGCAATGTATAGAGAAAATAAAGTTGTTAAGTAAGTTAGTGAGTTTGTTCTATCCTGTTGAGCAGAGGCTACAAGTGGGTACTTAGCTAATCTAAGTGTACTGACTGTTGGGGTTCAGGGTTTATATACTTTAGCTTTTAGGTTCCCCCCTTTTCTCCCCTTTCTAAATCTTGGGAGTAATATACAGCTACAAAGACTTTCTTCCTTAGTTAGGAAAGGCTCTTTTTCTTAGTTTGTGAAATTGTTGGGACTCCCCCAGCAATTTCCCTTCCTCAGGGACTACCTTCCCTTCCTCCTGTGCTATTCCTGATTGCTAGGTTCAGAACCCCCTTCCATCTTATTAAACCAAGCTCAGGACTGCTAAGTTAACTGGTGAGACATGTCTTCCTTTTCTTTCTAGCCTCCTGTAGTAAGTTCTTTGTTAGATTGTAACGGCAAGAATAAATCTGCCTTTATTCCCGCTTTGGCCACTCATTCCCAGCTGCTACTTAATAGTCCCACCCCCATGTGTGGAGGTTAAAATTTGGAAGTGATATTTTGTCTGAGGAGCCAGGGGTTCCAGCCCACACCAGTCCCCCAAGCCTGGAAGAGAAGCCCCCATAATTTCTGGCTGTAAAAACCAGTAGGTGCAGTGGCTGAGTGAGACTGAGTGCTTCTGGAGTCCCAGGCAGTTCCTCTTAAAAAGGGCATGCATACTGATCTCCTGGCTGAGGGACTCACTTGCTCTGAGCTCCAGTACTGGCACAACTGCTGGAAAAGCATAACGACATATGGGGAGAAACTGAATTGTCTGGTTTGGGTGTGAGGGCTAGAGGGGCAGCTTTCTGCCAGACAGAAATGCAGGAAGGTGCCACTTGTCCTTTGTTGATACCTGCCCCCACCCAGCTTGCAGACACAGGCAGGTGCCATATCTCAGTCTCCATCAACATGGCTAACAGCATTCCCCCCAACCCTGGTGATTCCCTAAGACCTCACACCACCCAACTTCTGGCTCATCCAAGCCACTTCCAATAGCTTTTCCATACAAATAGCCTGTCTTGGTTCATGCTGTAGACTTTCCTAAAAGATATTTCATGCAAATGGAAACAAACAAACAAACAAACAAAAAACTGAGGTAGGGATACTTATATCAAACAAAATAGACTTTAAAATAAAGTCTATAAAAAGACAAAGAAGAACCCAGCAATTCCACTTCTGAGTATTTACCTGAAGAAATCCAAAACACCAGTTTGAGACACATATGCATCCTTCTGTTCTTTGCAGCATTATTTACAATAGCCAAAATATGGAAGCGACCTAAGTGTCCATCAATGAATATGAATGGATAAAGAAGTGGTATGGCTATACAATGGAATATTACTCAGCTATAAAAAAAAGAATGCAATCACTCTGAATGGCATGGCTTAGATGGTTGGGCATCATCCCACAAAACAAAAGGTCACTGGTTTGATTCCTGGTCAGGGTACATGCTGAGGCTGCAGGCTCAGTCGCTGGACAGGGTATGTACGAGAGGCAACAAATCAATGTTTCTTTCCCGCTATTTCGCCCTCCTACCCTACCCTCTAAAAATAAATAAATTTTAAAAATTCTTTCCAAAAGAATGAAATCTTACCATTTGCAACAGCATGGATAGACCTAGAGGATAGTATGCTAAGTGAAATGTCAGAGAAAAACAAGTACCATATAATTTCACTTATATGTGGAAACTAAAACAAACAAACAAAACAGAAACAAACTCATTGATACAGAGAACAAATTGATGGCTGATGGGAGAGGGGTTAGGAGTTGGATGAAAATGGTGAAGGAATTAAGAAGTACAAATTATGGAGCATTTAAAATCTTACTCCCCAGCATATGTTATCAATTTGGTTTAAAGTAAACGCATAAAATTTTTTAAAAAGAAGTAAAAATTGCCAGTTATAAAATTAGTCATGGGGATATAAAGTACATCATAGGGAATACAGTCAATAATATCATGATAACTATGTATTATGTCAGATGGTACATACTGTGGTAATCATTTTGCAAGGTATTAAATGTCTAATCACTATATTGTACACCTGATGTCAATATAAATTGTATGTCAACTGTAATTGAAAACTAAAAAAAATTGATAAATAAAAGGCTTTTTCCTTTTAACAATTCCCATTAAATGCTACACAGAGTAACAAACTATAGTTGTGTAGATGTCCATGCTTCTGAAGGAGAGTGAACGGATCTATGTATATGAGAAGTTTACATTTAAATGGTCCTTTATTTTAAAATCATCACTCTGAGTCTTTTGTACATGACCTCTCTCTGGGCCCCAGTTACCTCATGATAAAATGATTATACTGGATGATCACTAATATCACCTAAGCTCTTAAAATTTTATGATTCATAATTCTGCTGGAAGAAGAATAATGTAACTTTAAAATATGGTTGTCATAGATGCACAGCATTAAAGTTTCCTGGGGAATTCATGTATCTGTTAGCCTAGGCACTGTACAAGAAGACAGAAGTAATGGGAAATGCAGATGGCAAAAGGAAAAGGAGGAAAGGTATATACATTCTGATTTTAAAAGATACAGCAACACAAACTTTTGCTGTCAGTAACAAACAGTAATCATGGGAAATGGAAACTGTCCAAGAAGTTTGCACAAAGCCCCTAATCACTGAACATGACTCAAAGTTCAGATATAATTCAATCCAGATCTACAAACACCTATTATATGCCAGACACTGTACTGTGTACCAAGAACACAAATACAAATAAACGTGTTTTTTTTTTATGGACACCCTAAATCCAGATTAAATCAACCATTATGAAGAAGCCTAAAATATGTGCCTGGAATAGTAACATCATGGCTCTTTCTGTAAATATGGGGTAACAAGGTAAATAACCCAATCAATAGAGATAGGTAGGACCCTGCTAACAGCAGACATTTAATTTGGTATGATATATTACCTTATATTGCACTAAACTCTCCAAGTAACTAATAGAATTTAAAATATTATTAACTTTTAGAGCATAAACATCTCTTAAACTAGACTATTTATTTTATCACACTTAAGGAAGAAATGAGCAACAGTGTTTTTCTAACAAATATATCATCACTCTGATAAGATTAATGAAAAAAATGCTTCACGATATTTGTCGTTTATCCTAGGACTCACCAGGCAAGCATATATGAACAGAGATTTCTCTCTGCTATGCCAAATGCTACATAATCTGATGAGTCCCTAATTAATATGGGGACCACAGTGGTTCACAGAGAAGAAGCAGAAGTAATATATCATAATGCCAGTTGGGGTGGCTGTAGTCACACAAAACCTCAGCCCACCTGTGATGCAGAGGCTGCAAGTCGCAGCTATGGACACATGACAGATGATAATAGATTCACTTTAGCAGGTGTCTCTGTAGACAAAACCTTACTCTCTCCCCGTCTTCAACACCTGACCCAACTCTGAACATATCTCAGAAATTCGGGCACAGAATGGGGAGAGCCCAGAAGTCTAAATTAATTTCTAAAATTTTGTGAGATGCAGGCTAAAGGCATCAAAGAAATTCAAATTTAGAGGTAATTTAAAAAGAAAGGCAAGATAATAATAACAAAGTATAACATACAAAGTTGACTAAGAAATAAACTAGAAAAATGACCTAAACTTTAGTGTGTGTAAGAATCACCTTGATGTTTGTTGAACATGAAGTCCTAAACCCTCCTCCTAATGATTCTGATTCAGTACATCTAGGACTGGGTTCAGAAAGGTACCCCACGTGGCTCTAATGTGGGTAATGTGGTCTGGCACCCACAGGTGCAAAACAATGGTTTTGAGAATCCATAAAAGACTTTACTTGTGCAGCTACCATAAACTAGAGTTCAGTGGAAAGATAATGATGGTCTCTCCCTTCAAGTTGCTCATAATCAGCTCAGAAGGTCAGACACGAAAACAACTAGTCATGTGAAATGAGGTAATAAGTACTTTATAAACAGTGTTGTATAAGGTCTTAGAAAACACAGAAGGGGAAGCAATTAACTGTCAGGGTTCAGGGAGGAAAGTGGTTTTTGGAGGGAAAAACCACCTTTGAGATGTCTTATATGCTATAATTCCATTACTAATATTTACATCTTACTCTTTTTTTTTAATCACTCTGTTTGGAATGCTTTTTTATATGCTTATGTACCCAGTGTTGTTTTTGAGTTTTGGTCTATGCGTAGTTGATTATTTTATTGTTATTTCAAAGAGCATATGAAGCATGAAAAATGACCATTGCACCCAAGCTTATTTAGAACAACGACCTTCCTTACTTTATCCAGTCAGTTGTTATTATGGGTTCTATCTTATAATAGCTTTTTATTCTTTGAGTTATTATAAGCCTAGGACAATGATATTTGTCCCTTTGTTTTTTGGCTAAATCACTTAATTTGCTTTCTGACTTGAGTCCCAAGATACTGTTGATCCATGTAGGATATTCTCACATCACAGAATTCTACCACTAATTACTATATTCCAAATGACTATATATCATAAGGTATCATTTTGTCCACATCTGCTTTAAAACTTACTGATAACGTAAACTGAGATTTTTTTTAACAGTAGCCCAACAATTTTGAATGCTGAAAGAAAATTTAAGGCCTACGCAATAAACATGCAGCCAGATATTTTCCTCTAGAGTATGAACATCAACTCTTTTTCATTTTATAATTTTTTATCTGGAATTCTTCAGACATAGCTAAAAAAAAAGTTTTTAAATACCTTTGGCCCAGAACCAATCTTATCTCCTCAAATGCCAAAAAACTTTTGTTCGCCGAATGCAAAATTCCAGCAGTACATATGATTGCTACTTGAATATTCACACACACACGCATATATAGATATAGTGGCTGAATATTCTATGTTTATCCCATCAGTCCTTTACAAGTTAATGTTGTCCCACTTCTAACTATTTAACAGAAATGAATTATTCTATTAAATATTTAAGGCTTACCCAGTGGGAAAGACTTTCATCGCAGTAATGTCAAAGCATTAGTTCCTCTCATTGGCAGCCTGAACTTCATGAAAGGTATACACCTCCCTGCTGCCCCCATGAACACCGAGCAGCCAGGGTCACAGAAGAAGGCAGACCTAGGCCCAAGAATCAACTCCCAAATGACTGCCAGCGGCTGCCGCAAATCAGGGGAGTCCTCATCTTTCCCTCACCTGACTTATGTGCCTAAGACTGAGGTGACATTAGAACACAACAGGAAAAAGAGAGAAGGAGGAAACACAGCAGGCAGGATCAGTCTTTTCAACATATCAATTACAGAACAAATAAAAATTTAGTAGAAAGAACTTCAAATGTTTAACAACTCTATTTTCTTCTACAGGCATACATTCTTCTATGCATTAGTAACATCAGCCTGAAACTAATTTACGATGGTGATGAAATGAAATGGAGGAAAAGAAAGAAGAGTGTGAGAGAACTTGAGCTGCTTTGGCCAGTAAAGAATTGAAATGAATGGAGTCAGTTTCAGAATTTGTTATATTTTACTATGGCCTTTCTAATATAAGAGACAAAAGAATATGATAGGATCTTTTTAACATCAGTCTATTTCTCAATTGTTTTGAATGAACCAAAAATCTTCCTTTTATGTTGTCTATACTGGCAACTTCATTATAATGTCACTTATTATAGGTCTTTCTGTTGCCACGTCAGTGACTCCCAAAGCGAAGTTCACTGATGTATGGAGGTACATAAGAAAAAGTCATAGCTCAAAAGCTAACAATTATTGCTCCAAAGGAGAGGTGTAAAGAAGAGAGATCTAGAGTCTGATGATGGATAAGTATTTGAGGGTTAGTAGGGAGAAAAATCTCTTAATCAAGGATGTTAATTTTAACAAAGAGAATGACATTGGTTGAATTACAATAGCAGAGAAGACGGTAAAAATACTAATTTGTGTTTTAAACCCGTATTTGTAAGCTACATAAGTAACAATAATGCCTGCAGTTAAACCCCAATGAATTCATCCTTGTTAATAATATTGAATCACAAAACAAGAGTTTTCCTAAGCAACTCAAATAAACTAACATTTCCAAAATACATACTTATGTGCAAAGTGCTCTGCTAAATATACAGGGAATTATTCCAAGTAATAATACAAGCACAAGATATGATCTCAGCCTTTTGAGGGTTTTTTAAATTAACTTATTGAATGAGATAGGATATACAAACGAAAAGAGCCAAATACACGGGGAAAATCTCATGCTTTAACTGGAATCATTATGTTTGCCATAGATGTGGCTTGTATGCTTTAGATTTTCAGTTCACTCTTCATGCAATGAAAGACTATTTTCTTCACATTTCACCAATGATGTAAATTTAAAAAAGGCATCTTCATCATTGTCACCTTAAACTTCTAAAACAGTAACCTATATGTGAAGCAGAAGGCTAGAAAAAAATTCTCAGTGTCAGAAGAGCAAGAGATGTCTTTAAAGTAAGTAAAGAAAAAAAGTTAACTTATTTTCCAATTTCTAGACTTAAAGAAACAAGTTGAATATCTTGAAGAAAGAAGTAAAAAAGCACTTTAGTTTCCTGGGCAAATGTAAATTTAAAAAACCACAACCACAACCACCCAACACCAATCAGGGTGATGTTTCTAGTGGGCCCTTTCTGAGCATTGGTAGAAACTGCTTTTTTAAATCTCTGTTTTTATGCTCGTTCCAAGATCTTTCAAGGGAGGGGGTTGAGGGAAGAGGCGGTACTGCATAAAAGAAGCTGCTCTGAGATTTCTAAAATTCACACAAAAATTTCCTTGGTAAGAAAAGTTACCGTATTTTGGCAGCTGATCTTCCGTGATGGACCCAGAAGCAACCTCAGTTTCTGCGGAGTATTTCTATGCTACAAGCCAAAGTCCTGATGACATGGAGGAGACCCCCTCCCATCTTCCTTACATATCTGTTTTCCTTCCCGTCTTTTATACAGCCGTGTTCCTGGCTGGAGTGCTGGGGAACCTCATCCTCATGAGTGCCCTGTATTTCAAACAAGGCAGCCGAAGACTGATTGACATCTTTATCCTGAACCTGGCTGCTTCTGACTTCATTTTCCTCGTCACGTTGCCTCTCTGGGTGGATAAAGAAGCATCTTCAGGACTGTGGAGAACAGGCTCTTTCCTGTGCAAAGGCAGCTCCTATGTGATCTCAGTCAACATGCACTGCAGTGTCTTCCTGCTCACCTGCATGAGTGTTGACCGCTACCTGGTCATTGTGCATCCAACCGTCTCCAGGAAATTCAGAAGGAAAGACTGTGCCTATGGAGTCTGTGCCAGTATCTGGCTTATCTCCTGCCTCCTGGGGTTGCCTACTGTTCTGTCCAGGGAGCTCACCCTGATTAATGATAAGCCATACTGTGCAGAGAAGAAGGCCACTTCGATTAAACTGACTTGGGCCCTGGTGTCCTTAATTTTTACCTTCTTCGCCCCTTTAGTGAGCATTGTGACCTGCTACTGTTGCATCACAAGGAAGCTGTGTGTCCATTACCAGCAGCCTGGAAAGCATAACAGAAAGCTGAGGAAATCTATAAAGATCATATTTATTGTTGTATCAGTCTTCGTCTTCTCCTGGCTGCCCTTTAATACTTTCAAGCTTCTGGCTATTGTCTCTGGGTTTCAGCAAGAACTCTACTCATCCTCATCTGTCCCCCAACTGGGCATGGAGGTGAGTGGACCCTTAGCATTTTCCAACAGCTGTGTCAACCCTTTTATTTACTATATCTTTGACAGCTACATCCGCCGGGCCATTGTGCACAGCTTGTGCCCTGGCCTGAAGAACTATGACTTTGGGAGCAGCACTGAGACATCAGACAGTCACCTTACTAAGTCTCTCTCCAACTTTGTTCATGCAGAGAATTTCGCCAGAAGAAGAAAGAGGTCTGTATCACTCTAAAAGGGACTGTGACTTTTCAAGTTCTGTTGGTGGACTGGAGAGTTAATTTGGGTCAGTGACCAAAAAAAGACAAAAAATATTGCTGAAAGTTTTCATATTGCATCATAAATGCAACATAGAATTAACCTTTATTAAAGAGACAGCTGAAAAGTCCTTGTGTTTGTGGATATAATTAGGCTATATACTGGTTTCGTTGCGGGGGGGAGGGTTGGGGTTTTTTTAGCTGAATGGCCTTATTTGACCTTTGCCAATCAAGTTCACCACGCAAAATACAACACCTATATGTCCTTGAACTCCAAGATAAAGGCTCCTGCTTGGACTAGTTCTTTTTTTCATGATTCTCAATGTACATTTAGGTCTTTTCCTCTCTCAAGAACAACAGTACCTTGGTCTACACCACCCTTCATACTGGGCTCCACAGTGGACAACATTTAAAGCATTCTGCCCACTGTCATCTGGTGAGAAATGTGGTGATATTGCAGGCAGCAAAAAAATATAATATACCTGTGCTCTGTAATTAATTGTTCCAAAGTAATGAAGTGAGGCTCTGGCCTTATTCTTTAAAAATTTGTATGGCGATTCTTTACCATCTTCCAGCATTGTCTTTGACCCCATACCATCCAGAAATAGCTTTAGACTGGCAAAAAGCTCATGGGGTAAGTCATTTTGTATTGTGTTTATGATTTGAGACTTACACTCTCATCTGGTTTTTTAGACTATTTTAACAAGAAAGCCTAAGACAAGGTTTGACCTTTATTGAGAGATATATTGGTAAAAAATGTATCTCATTATAGTGGTGTAGCAACTACTTTTCAATGGGGTTTTGCTATGCTCTTTTGTTTTACTGTCTTTATAAATTAGGATATGACTTTGTTTTAATTATGTGTCTTTAATTACCCAGTTATCAAGTTATCAAATAAAAATGTTACTACTAATATAATTGGAGGTCAGCAAATGTTTAGCTACACACTTGTGCAGATTATGATTTTGTATTTTAATTAAAATGTTAGTTCTGCACATTCCTTATAGCATCATTTGCTCGTGTATATAATTTCAAGATTTGATCCAGTAATATAGGAAGGCAGGGTGCTCTGTATTCGGTTGAGGTAAAAAAAAAAAAAATCCATAACAAAGGTGATGTTGATATTTCATGTACATTTTTCCAAACCCAGAGACTATCCTGAATTCCTTCACCCAACAAATATTTTAGCCTATTTGTACCTAATATTCCTTTTAATTACTTCAGAGTAAAAACTTAATTGGCAGTAACTGCAAAAGGCTTTGCAGCTGCAAACATATTATCATAAACATCTTTTGACTGAAGAGAAAGTGGGTTGTGTTTTTACACTCACTGTTGACTCAAATGAGTTGCTGCTTTACTTCTAATTATTAAGTTTAAAAAGTCAAAGAAAGCTTATATTCTTTCAGAGATGAAGTAATTCAAGTTTATTCTATATATGTATCTTTCACATTAAGAAAAAATCTCAAATATTGGGCATCTTTTTATAATCCATTTAGAAGTTTAAAATATAGTTTTTGATTTTTTGAATTGGTTAATTTGTTAATTTCCCTTAAACTTTTTTAAGTGAAAATGTAATGTCCTTATTTAAGTATTCTATGTTGTATTTGTTTCTATTAATACATTAATATTAATTACATTAATATTCTAAGTCTCAATTATTTACCATAGATATAGGAAAAAATGACTGTGCAAGTCATAAGAAATAAAGCTTCTTGGAGATACTTCAAAACTGAATTCAAAACAAATATATCTCCAAAGATTAGATGAAAACAAAATACGAAAGGTAGAAGACATTCACTTTATTTAGAACAAATCAGTAAAAGCACTATTAATAATCACAAAAATCACTATCTTTGAGAAATGCTACCTTTAAAAAATAGCTCAATAACTTAGCTAAGGTATTTGTTAGAAAAGAGAAAACATAAATTATTAAGTTTAATTTCATCTTTAATGTTGGAACACGGAACAAATCATTTTAATTTTCCATGCTTAAACATACTTGCTATGCCTCTAGAATTCTGAAGAATATCTTAAGACTAGCCCTGGCCAGCATGGCTCATTTGGCTGAGCATTGTCCCACAAAGCAAAAGGTTACCAATTTGATTCCCAGTCAGGGCACAAGCCTACGTTGCAGATTTGGTCCCCAGGCAACCAACTGATGTTTCTCTCTCACATCAATGCTTTTCACCCTCTCTTTCTCCCTAACTTTCTGTCTCTAAATAGATAAATAAAATATTTTTTAAAGAATATTATAAGGCTAATAAACATAATATTTTTTTAAAAACATTGAATAAGAAGTTATTATATAAAGCTGTTGGGTTTATATTATTAATTATTGAATGTTGCTTATAAATTTTCTAATTAAAATATCAAATAACAATCACTCTTATTTAATAAATACTAAGAATCTAATTTCTGTTACATCCCTTTAGTTTTTGCTGGAAATATTTAAAATAACATCAAAAAATATATTGTACTTTTTAATACTTAAGTATACATCCTAATTTTATACCTTTAAAAAGTCTTGGTGTATTTTATACTCATAATATACCAAAGAAATGGAAGGAGAAATAGAAAAACTTTATAGGTGGCATAACTCTCATAGAAAAAAGTTCAAAACTTGTTTAAGTTGTTGTGTTATATATGGATTCCTCTGGTATGAAATGTAATTTACATTATAATAGCATTGAAAGTTTTATTGTAAATTATTTAGTTAGGTCTCATTTTGCACATTTTTAAACCATAACATTTCCACATTTTCAACATGAACAAATTATATTTAAATACATATGCACATAAAAATGCATCCAGAAACATTGATATATTATTCAGTTTTCAAGATTTTCATTTCAATTAAACTACTCTGAAAGCTACCTTGTGGTAAAGTCATTATAGAACAAATCAACACACATTGCCACAAATTCTAGAAAATTAATCTGACCCCTTAACACAATCATGCTTTGCTGGTTACATCCAAAGTTAGAAAGAGAAAATAAAATTTAGCTAAAGTAAGTCTGTTAGGAAATCCTTGCTGATTAACATTACTTGTCATTTGTTTAAGCGATCCAAAGCTATTGCTAAGATGTAACTGACAAATATTAAAGAACAGCAGTCTCCCAAGCAATTTTTTTAAACTTACCAGAGAGAAGCTCTCCATTAAAACCTAAGATGTTGTTTGACAACTTATAATTAATTTTAAAATAGTTATACTCAAGGCACACACAGTCACAAACATGCATATACTCCATTTGGGCCATGTTTACAGGTTAACACTAACCTGGTAGCCCTGGGAGCACCTACATTTATCCACTCTAACAAGTGAAATCCCCACTGAGGGAGAATGACACTAAGTGAGAAAAACAGCCTTAAAAGGAAGCTATGTGCGTGACTGAAAGTAGACTATACTAGGGGTCACAAGATAATTTTTAAGTAGATGAAGAAATACACAGTGTGATGGTAAGCTGAGTGAAAGAAACCTTCCTCTATGATTCATCTTGACTCCTCAAATCATTCTCTATTCCTTGCCCCCTAGCAATCTCAAAGGTAAGAAATGACTTGTCAAATGTGTGTGTCACAGAGCAGTAAGCCTCAGTTCTCCTGAAGAGCTCATTCACAAAAGTTGAACAATTACAAATTTAATTCTAAACCAGCCACTGGAATAGCCTGCGCACGAGACGATGCCTCCAGCCTGATTAGAGGGAAGCTGCATCCAGAGAAAAAGCAGGATAATTCCACCAGGATATTTGTAAACGGTTACTGGGTTTTGCCTTCCCCAGAGGTTGATATGGATTGGATTGTCCCTTGCAAATGCCTGTTCTTATTTTAAGTTCTTTCCTTTGCATCAACCTTCTTTATTTTTGTCAGTTCTCTAAGTAAACAATTGTGACTATACTTTACATATATGTGTACAAGGAAAAACAACAGTACCAGTGACCTGATTTAATATTGCAGGTGTAAAGATCCACCTAAGGATGAATTACTCTGGTCTCTTGCTTTGTCATTTCCTTAATAGAACAATATTTCCTAAATGTATTCAATAAATGGGACTTGTATCCTGAGTAACCTACAGCATTTGAAAAAAAACAAAAAACCTACTTTAAATATCCAGTGCATCAAACTGTTAATAAAGTGAAGATTCTTATGATAAGTTAAATTATAAGGAAATATAAACTCACATGAAATATCCATTTCTTATTAATCTAAAAAGGGAGAGAAAACTAAAAGAGGTAAGTATTCTATTAGTTGGCAGACATTATTAAACTAAAAAAATTCTTGGTTTATATATACATGAGTACCAAATTTCTAAGATACAAAGACTCTATAAAATTACAGTGAAACTTTTTTGAGTTGGCCACATGTGCTGAGGTTGAATTGAGTTGAGTTTAACTTAGGCATGTGGTACATTCAAAGGATTTAAGATCTCTGGCCAACTGGCTCAGTTGGTTGGAGCATCTTCTGTACACCAAAAGGCTGCAGGTTCAACTCCTAGGGCACATGGGGGAGGTGGTCAATTAATGTTTCTTTCTCACAGCGATGTTTCTCTCTCTCTCTCCCCCACCCCACACACTTCTTCTCTCTAAGATCAATAAACATATCCTTGGGTTAGGACTGAAAAAAAAGATTTATGATACAATGTTCATATTATTTTTATAATGCTTTACAGACCAAATAAGGGATATCATCAATCTGATATTATTCAGCGATTTTCTTATTTGCTAATTAAGATTGAATCATTATCTAGTTTCCTATCATTCATATGTTAATGAGAGTTAGGCTTCATCTATGAGTACTTAATGTTTGTCAACATTAATGGGAAATATTAACATTTTTATCTGCTTCCTCCTATCAGTTCTGATAAGAAAGATGTCATTTCTATATTACTATTAATTCAAAATGAAATTTAAAAAGCTCTCCTTGTTAAGATACTTTATAATCTATATTTTATAAAAGCTCTCTACCATTTGCTGTTATTTAAAAG